TACAGTTAAACCGCATTGAAATAACTACATTGAAACATTTACGTAATTATACTGAGCATTGCTATGCATTGAGTTATATGCCTTTCCTACCAAATATGTGTTATAAATCCTAACCCTCTGTCTGTGGTTTAATCCCCTTTGGGAATGGGCTGCCTTTGTTATGGTCAAGAGGCAGGATTAGTGGAGAGGGTATCTGGAGTCAACCTCTTTTTAGACATAAAAAGGGAAGAAAGGAGCAGCTGAGAAGAGAGGAGGTAAAACAGATGCCAAGGAACATGGAGATCTCTTCCGGAGATGACCAAAACAGAAGCATGCCCTGAGAGTGGACACCTTGAATCTGGACAGCGAGTCTTCTACACTGTTAGGAAACAGACTTCTGTTTGGTGAAGCCAACGGCTTGCCGTTAGAGCAGCACTAGATAACTATGACAGATTGGGGACCAAGAGGTGGGGCTGCTCTGAAAAATACCTACAAAGTGGAAGTGGCTTAGGAATTGGGAAATGGGTAAAGCAGGAGAGGTTTGAAGGCATAAGGGGCTCTGGTGGGGCTGTGGGATAAATGTTTGGCTGTTGACCACATCGGTGGTTCAAAACCACCTGGGAGAAAGAGGAGGCTGCCTGCTCCCATAAAGATTTACAATTTCAGAAACCCTGAATGGGGTCACTATGAGTCAGTGGGTTTGGCATTTTAATACAGACATGCCTCACGTTCTACGTTGCTTGATTGTGCTTCAGCAATATTAAATTTCTTTTTCTTTTCCATTCCTTTTTAAATCAGAAGTCTGCAGGAAACCTGAGCAAGTCTACTGGGACCGTTTTTCAAACAGTATATGCTTACTCTGCATCTCTGTGTTATATTTTGATAATTTGTACAATATTTTGAATTTGTAAAAATAAACTACAGTATAGAAGATATTTCACTTTTTCATTTTACCAAAAGCTCTGTGTGACCTGCTTTGTTGTAATAGTCACTTAATTGTGGAATCGAGCCTGCGTTTCTCCACGGTGCGCCCTGAAGAGGCTGGGAGAACCGGGCACACTGAAGGCATTTCTGATGAGGGCGCAGAGGGAAATGAGGAGATAGAGTTGCTGTCATCATAGAGGACACATAAGGTGCCATCAACACAGTGTTACTAGCGATGTGGTCATTAAATGTATTCCAAAAGAGGCTTTCAAAGAGAAGAATGCACATGTGATTGGACAATGGAGGAAGGGCAATGGCAAAGAACTTCTCTGAAAAATGTTCACAGGCTTGGTGGAAGATGGCACTTCTGAGCGATGAATTTTGGTATCTGACTGAGATTTTAAGCAAGATCTTAAAGGAGTCACATGCTTTCTCCTTACTGCTTACAGGAGGGACTTAAACATTTTATTTTAAAAGATTTCATTATCTTGTAATTCCACTTGCCACCCATACTTTAAAGTCCCCTCATAGTAAAATCTGAGAGAAATGAGGTAGACTTAAAAAACGAACTTTGCAAACTGAGAACAAAAACTTAAATACTTGTAAAATTCAGTTGTATAAAATTTCAACAAGGACATGGCCAAACCATCTTTTGTTCAGGAAATTAGGTCGATGACTAATGGAACTAACCAACTACCGCAGCATAAACCCATCAGCTTCATCTGAAAGGTTCAGAGGAAGAACAAAAAAAAAGAAGCTGTCTGCTGCCTAGAACTCCACACCCAGGAAACACCCAATGAGCGAAAGGTCTTTGGATTTGACCTACCCTATCATTCTTACTCTATAATACATTTCAGACACTCCTTATTATGCACTCTGAAACTGGTATTGTGTAAACATCCATACCCTTAGCAATCTATAAAAAGTAAACGAAACCACTAGGCATTTAAAATGAAAAAGCTGTAGGTGAGTTGACGAATGTGGGTTTCTCAACCATATCAGAAGGAAAAGAAAGCAAAATCACAGGAAACCAAAGTGAACACAGGTGCGCTAATCTCAATTTGAAAACAACTCTATACACAGGAGGTTCATCTCGGATTTTATCAAATTAATGCTGAAGAAGACATAGAATATTAGAGTCTCTTTAAGGTCACAAGACACAAGAAATTGCATACAGATTCAAATCCAAGATAAATCCAATTCAATATTTGCTCTTTAACAGCACAAAAAAAAACTATAAGAAGCTAGAGGGGTCTTCTTTAACATTAACCTCTAACTAGTAATTTGTATCTCAAATCATGTTGAATTTCTTTAATACATTAACTATAAAATTAGGGAGCTGCTGGGTTAAATGTTGGGATGATAAGTTCAGTTCAAACCCACCATCCTCTACCAAAGAAGTAGTTGTCTGCTCCTTCCAAGATTAACAGTCTACGAAATCCTTAAGGAGATGTCCAACTCTATCTATCGGGTCACTCTGAGTTAGAATCAGCTCCATGGCAGTGAGTAGTTGTTTTATAAAATTAGGGTATTCTCATTTAAAGTTATTTCTAAGCTGTATTTCCCTCAAATCACCTGTTGTTGTTGTTGTTGTTGGGTGCCATGCCATCAAGTCGGCTCTGACCCTGAGCGACCCTGTGCACAACAACGAAATACTGCCTGGACTGTGCTATCCTCACAAGGGTTAACATGTCTGACCCACTGATGCAGCCACTGTGTCAGTCCATCTCACCGAGGGCCTTGCTCTGTTTTTGCTGCCCTTCCATTTTACCAGCCATGATGTCCTTCTCCAGGGACTGGTCTCTCCTGACAATGTGTCCAAAATATATAAGACAAAGGCTTGCCATCCTTGCCTCTAAGGAGCACTCTGGCGTTACTTCCCCCAACACAGATTAGTTTGTCTTTTTAGCAGTCCATGGTACTTTCCAATTTCTTCTTCAGCACCATAATTCA